ATATTAATTATGTATCTTGGATCTTTATAGAAGCTCGTGATTTTTACGCACCTCCCCTCGAAAATTTCAATTTAATTAACTTTAGAACATTTTTTGCTTTCGGTACAGCTTGCGGTTATATTTTTCACTCACACTCGCACACACAATAACCGAAAAGATGGAAGAAAATGTTGTTTGCACATCAGAAACATAACCCAATTTTCGCGGTGGCAGAAGAGCAAGAGCAGTAGCACATTCGAGATAAGTACATTCGAGAAGAATGCGGCATCGATAACATTACCTTTTTTCGATGCTTTTGTGCCACCGATTATTACGCTGCCCAGAGATGGCAAGGCCACACTTTTCATGGTAAATGTCGCTGGAAGGGACGGCCTTTTCACTCTGTCGTCACTAATCGAGTTCATTTAAATGCATTGAATGTGTCCCATTATGCGGTACTGCGGCGCATCTGCAATTCCAATCCATAACCAACCCACATCCCCATCGAATCCTGACTCATCCCGCATTGGCATTGGGGGCATATGGAAAATTCTTTTACAAATCGAAAACATTTCATGCAAAAGGAGAAACATTTCATGGCGAGATCTGTGCACACCTGTTTTTGCAAAAATGCACACAAAAAAGTGGTATGTATGATATCTAATTTAATGGAATATGTGCAAAACCCCTTCTCCCTCAGGGCCGCTGCAACATGCAACGTGCAACGTGAGGGCGAAAGTGAGATACATTGTAGTGCCACCTGCCACCTGCCACCTGCCACCTTTGGAATGGCCAATTCTGATAAGGAGGAACCTTAACGCAGAGCAACCTTGGCATGGATCCTTTCGGCTGGTACAAGTAACACCAAACGAGACATAATTGCCTTAATGAATGGTAAGCGTCTCATAGACCCCCAATTTCAGGGCCACTACAGAGGGATCTCACACATCCATTCGGTATGGTATGGTGTGGCTAATGGTTTTCCTTGCTGTCTTCTAGTGTTGGCCAATTTATTGTTGCATTTGGCGCTCGCTTTGATCTTGACGCGTTTTTGACACTCGTCGAGTTTGCTCTCTCTCTCTCTCTCTCTCTCTCTCTGGCGGGCAGGCAGCAGCAGCAGCGTGGTATTGGCGGGGCAAACAGCCGGCGGCATGTGCCGCACATTTTTCATATTTTTTCATTTCGGTTTTATTTTCCCCACAGAAAATGCCGAGATGCCGCTGCCGAAACGTTCGCTTTTCATTTCACATTTTGGCGCATTACTCAGCCTGCAAGTGGAATTGGCAATCAAATGAGACGACGACTACGACGACTACCACGACTTTTCCGATGTATTTTTAGTGGTCCACGGATCGCGCGATTCTATATGCAAACCATATTCGTAATTCTCATGTAGGCCAAACAGCAGTCGCGTGGGGCTTGCTGAACTGTGAACTGTGACCCCTAGAATCGGTCGGGAAGTGTGCTCCCATGTTCCTGCTTTCGGACCCAATAGGTTGCAGCAGGTCCCACCTAGTGGCTGCGGCGGAATCCCCGCTAAGCTTGTTAGCCTTGCCCTCCGGCCTTGCCGCTGGACAGACACGACTGACACGCCACGCCACGCCACGAAAGCAGGCCAATTAGGCCCCCAGGCGTAGGGAGATGGAGATGGAGATGGTGGGGGGAGGCGGGCATCACTGTCAACTGGCAGCTGGCCAAAGACCCACGCACTTGGGAGGCGCAGAGTGGCGCACGCACAGTGGCTGGCTACGCTTTTCCTCCTATCCCATACCTCTATCTCTGTCTGTCTTATTTTCTGGAGGAAGAGGCAGAGACCAATATACGAGTAGTGCGTCAACAGCGACGATGCCACGGAAGTATTCTCCGCAACCACCTCCCAGATCCCTGGTCACTGGTCCCTGGTCCCTGACAGCCCTCGCCCCCGTTTTGATTTATGCGGCATTTTGCAAAAGTCAACAAATGGAAATGACACGGAAAATAATAATGCCAAGAGAGAGAGAGAGCTTAACCATTTTACCGATTTCTTTCAGCTTTCAAGGCCGCCAAGGCAGAAATAGAGTCCACCCACAGCACACCCGAATGTATGGAAAACTATGGCCCCATTTTTGGAGTCCAGGAAAGCGGAGAAACCAGGAGAAATAGAGTCCCATGAAATTTATGTTGTACTTCAGAAACAGAAACAAACAAGTTTTCGTTTGCTTATATCACAGTCACAAGGAGCTGGAGCCGGAGCTGGAGAATACCAGCAGCCGCCTTAGAAGATCTACAGATCTACTGCCATCACAATGGGAATGACGGGCAGCCGTTCGCTGAGCCTCGATCAGATGGCGGAGCATCAGCGGGAGACCGGACTCTCGTGCGCCCAGTTGGAGCAGCTCTATAGCCGTTTTCAATCATTGGACCGCCAGCGTCGTGGCTATCTGACGCCAACCGATCTGCTGCGCATACCGCAGCTTGTCCAGCATCCACTGCACCGCCAGATCGTGGACAGCTTCTTCCCCCGCCGCTGCGGGACCGCAACTATGTCCTTCCACCAATTTGTGGGGGCTTGCGCCACCGTCCTGGTGCCGCAGTTCATATTCACCGAGACTATGGAGTTGTATGGGCCACCGCCCCATGGACGAGCCGACAAGGTGCGTCTGCTGTGTAAAATGATCGATACAGAGAACCAAGGCTACATATTGACCAAGGACTTTCGTCAATTCTTGGGCACCTTGCTCGAGCAGCACGGCGCCCATCCGGCCGAGATGCCTCTGTTGGAGCTACTGGCATTCGGACTCAACCAATCGACACCCGCCCAGCTCAAATACCATGATTTCGAGTTCCGTCTCAGTGCCGCCGATCTAGAGGGTCGTCTCTCCATCAGCAAGTGGCTCGCTAAGGGCGAGAACGAGGCCCCCAAGGCCAGCAAGGCCAAAACCGGGACTGACTCCGTGGAGCCTGGCGTGCAGGCGAGGCACAACAAATAAATCACCCGCAGAATCGTTCGTTTCCGCCTTATTGGTGTTTTCTGTACAGTTTGTGGCGGATACGTAATATCTATATATATTTTTAGTAGCATTCTTTTAAGGCTTCTTTGTGCACAAAACACTATATGTAGCATGTAGAATGATTAAATCTGTACGTGGGTGCGCCTTTTTATAATTGTTTGGTTTACATTTTTCACCTAAAATATCAGAGAACATTTGGCAAATGCAGTGGCCATCAGACTGCAGACTCAATTGCAAGGGGATTGATCCTGAAGCACCGTCAAGTCGGCCCTGTTGCGCCCCCTTGGGCACGCGAGAGGTCTAGAGAGGCCAGGAAAGCGATCAGGTAGACCTTGCTATCTGAGGAAAACTGCAGAAGACGGAGCAGGTCTGCGCTGCACAGGTTCTGTAGATGTTAGGCGGCTAAGCATCCTTTGGCATAGTTGTCAGGCACTCATTGAATTCGTACTTCTGGATGGCAGAGGACGTATGGAATGCACACTCCAGTAGGGGCTCGTCGGGAGCTCGAAGACCAACAAAGCATTGTGCGCAGCAGCTGGGACTAACGCTGGTCCAGGTACTCTGCCGCCAGTGGCTGTTGCTCCTAAGCCATCTGGGGAAAAGCTCCAGCACCAGCAACAGCACTGGCACGCTGATGGCCCCCGAGCGGCTCCTCCTTGCATTGGCCAGAACCCAGCATCTCGGGGCTAGAAGCAGGAGCAGATCGCAGCAGGCTATGTTGAGTGACAGCCCGTCCGTGCTCTGCTCTTCGCCATTTTGAAGGCCAGGCTGCCATGCCGTGTGGGCATGGTTCAAAGATTCGAGACTTGTGTGCGACCCAGCAGCAAAAACAAGAGATGGGAAAGAGATCGATTGGCCATTGTCGGTTGATGGATATATGCGATGGTTTGCTTTATGATTGTTCCCTGAATGCCCAAGTCATGTTTTTTCCTAGAATAAATGTATTTTCAATTAATATTTATTGTAGGATACAATTTTAAAATGGCGTGGCTATATCTATTAAAAAGATGTGTGGGATTGTGGGCTTCCGTTCACGCTTTTGTGGTTGGCCACGGAGACAGCAGCCTTCATCGGTGGCGAATCGGTGCGAACCAAGGTGCTCGCCTAGTAGTAGCCATCGGGGTATTGGTCCTCCTCGTATTCGTCCCAGGGCCCATCCCCATCGTCGGACGAATCCAGATACTCTATCGCAAAGATCTCCAAAGTGACTTCCAAATTAAGCATGCTGTTGGGGACGTCATGAACATCCTCCTCTTCTGTGAGCTCCGGCGGACTGCCTGGACTCTCGTCCATGAGAGGTGTAGCTGCAGGAGCAGCAGCAACAGCAGCAGCAATATTCTCGTCCTCGTACAGAAAAGCACTTTGATGTGGATTCAGACCCAGGGTATTTGGCGATGCCTGGCCGTCATACTCATACTGAACATCCTCCTCTTCTGTAAGCTCCGGCAGACTGCCTGGACTCTCGTCCATGAGAGGTGTAGCAGCAGGAGCAGCAGCAACAGCAGCAGCAATATTCTCGTCCTCGTACAGAAAAGCAGTTGTATGTGCGGCCGGAGGCCAAGGCGGATTCGGACCCAGGGTATTTGGCGATGCCTGGCCGTCATACTCATACTGAACATCCTCCTCTTCTGTAAGCTCCGGCGGACTGCCTGGACTCTCGTCCATGAGAGGTGTAGCTGCAGGAGCAGCAGCAACAGCAGCAGCAATATTCTCGTCCTCGTACAGAAAAGCAGTTGAAGGTGCGGCCGGAGGCGAAGGCGGATTCGGACCCAGGGTATTTGGCGATGCCTGGCCGTCAAGTGTTTCCTTCAGATGACCTTCCATAACCAAACAAAGTTATGCAAATTATGAAAAAAAATGCAAATTAAAAACGTCCACGTTACGCCTGCGTATGGTGGTTTCTAGAAAAGTCTATCGATAGGTCGATAGTCGAGACGTTCTCCGCAGTGCGCGGTGCGCACATTGTTGCCAGACTTACCAACGCATCACACGCTTTTCTGAGCAATTTCTTGGTATTTTCAATAAGAGTATGTGACCTTATGTTTGCGAAATGCAGCCGACTCGAACGCAGGCGTTAGAAAAAGCAAAGCAGAGCCAAACAAATCGGCTGATGCAGCACGGATGAGAGGGGATGTACGCCGATTCCTGTGTACGTATGTAAGTAGTAAGTGTGCTGTGCGAGCTGAGAAAAATGACGGAATGACGGGCAGCCGTTCGCTGAGCCTCGATCAGATGGCGGAGCATCAGCGGGAGACCGGACTCTCGTGCGCCCAGTTGGAGCAGCTCTATAGCCGTTTTCAATCATTGGACCGCCAGCGTCGTGGCTATCTGACGCCAACCGATCTGCTGCGCATACCGCAGCTTGTCCAGCATCCACTGCACCGCCAGATCGTGGACAGCTTCTTCCCCCGCCGCTGCGGGACCGCAACTATGTCCTTCCACCAATTTGTGGGGGCTTGCGCCACCGTCCTGGTGCCGCAGTTCATATTCACCGAGACTATGGAGTTGTATGGGCCACCGCCCCATGGACGAGCCGACAAGGTGCGTCTGCTGTGTAAAATGATCGATACAGAGAACCAAGGCTACATATTGACCAAGGACTTTCGTCAATTCTTGGGCACCTTGCTCGAGCAGCACGGCGCCCATCCGGCCGAGATGCCTCTGTTGGAGCTACTGGCATTCGGACTCAACCAATCGACACCCGCCCAGCTCAAATACCATGATTTCGAGTTCCGTCTCAGTGCCGCCGATCTAGAGGGTCGTCTCTCCATCAGCAAGTGGCTCGCTAAGGGCGAGAACGAGGCCCCCAAGGCCAGCAAGGCCAAAACCGGGACTGACTCCGTGGAGCCTGGCGTGCAGGCGAGGCACAACAAATAAATCACCCGCAGAATCGTTCGTTTCCGCCTTATTGGTGTTTTCTGTACAGTTTGTGGCGGATACGTAATATCTATATATATTTTTAGTAGCATTCTTTTAAGGCTTCTTTGTGCACAAAACACTATATGTAGCATGTAGAATGATTAAATCTGTACGTGGGTGCGCCTTTTTATAATTGTTTGGTTTACATTTTTCACCTAAAATATCAGAGAACATTTGGCAAATGCAGTGGCCATCAGACTGCAGACTCAATTGCAAGGGGATTGATCCTGAAGCACCGTCAAGTCGGCCCTGTTGCGCCCCCTTGGGCACGCGAGAGGTCTAGAGAGGCCAGGAAAGCGATCAGGTAGACCTTGCTATCTGAGGAAAACTGCAGAAGACGGAGCAGGTCTGCGCTGCACAGGTTCTGTAGATGTTAGGCGGCTAAGCATCCTTTGGCATAGTTGTCAGGCACTCATTGAATTCGTACTTCTGGATGGCAGAGGACGTATGGAATGCACACTCCAGTAGGGGCTCGTCGGGAGCTCGAAGACCAACAAAGCATTGTGCGCAGCAGCTGGGACTAACGCTGGTCCAGGTACTCTGCCGCCAGTGGCTGTTGCTCCTAAGCCATCTGGGGAAAAGCTCCAGCACCAGCAACAGCACTGGCACGCTGATGGCCCCCGAGCGGCTCCTCCTTGCATTGGCCAGAACCCAGCATCTCGGGGCTAGAAGCAGGAGCAGATCGCAGCAGGCTATGTTGAGTGACAGCCCGTCCGTGCTCTGCTCTTCGCCATTTTGAAGGCCAGGCTGCCATGCCGTGTGGGCATGGTTCAAAGATTCGAGACTTGTGTGCGACCCAGCAGCAAAAACAAGAGATGGGAAAGAGATCGATTGGCCATTGTCGGTTGATGGATATATGCGATGGTTTGCTTTATGATTGTTCCCTGAATGCCCAAGTCATGTTTTTTCCTAGAATAAATGTATTTTCAATTAATATTTATTGTAGGATACAATTTTAAAATGGCGTGGCTATATCTATTAAAAAGATGTGTGGGATTGTGGGCTTCCGTTCACGCTTTTGTGGTTGGCCACGGAGACAGCAGCCTTCATCGGTGGCGAATCGGTGCGAACCAAGGTGCTCGCCTAGTAGTAGCCATCGGGGTATTGGTCCTCCTCGTATTCGTCCCAGGGCCCATCCCCATCGTCGGACGAATCCAGATACTCTATCGCAAAGATCTCCAAAGTGACTTCCAAATTAAGCATGCTGTTGGGGACGTCATGAACATCCTCCTCTTCTGTGAGCTCCGGCGGACTGCCTGGACTCTCGTCCATGAGAGGTGTAGCTGCAGGAGCAGCAGCAACAGCAGCAGCAATATTCTCGTCCTCGTACAGAAAAGCACTTTGATGTGGATTCAGACCCAGGGTATTTGGCGATGCCTGGCCGTCATACTCATACTGAACATCCTCCTCTTCTGTAAGCTCCGGCAGACTGCCTGGACTCTCGTCCATGAGAGGTGTAGCAGCAGGAGCAGCAGCAACAGCAGCAGCAACAGCAGCAGCAATATTCTCGTCCTCGTACAGAAAAGCAGTTGTATGTGCGGCCGGAGGCCAAGGCGGATTCGGACCCAGGGTATTTGGCGATGCCTGGCCGTCATACTCATACTGAACATCCTCCTCTTCTGTAAGCTCCGGCGGACTGCCTGGACTCTCGTCCATGAGAGGTGTAGCTGCAGGAGCAGCAGCAACAGCAGCAGCAATATTCTCGTCCTCGTACAGAAAAGCAGTTGAAGGTGCGGCCGGAGGCGAAGGCGGATTCGGACCCAGGGTATTTGGCGATGCCTGGCCGTCAAGTGTTTCCTTCAGATGACCTTCCATAACCAAACAAAGTTATGCAAATTATGAAAAAAAATGCAAATTAAAAACGTCCACGTTACGCCTGCGTATGGTGGTTTCTAGAAAAGTCTATCGATAGGTCGATAGTCGAGACGTTCTCCGCAGTGCGCGGTGCGCACATTGTTGCCAGACTTACCAACGCATCACACGCTTTTCTGAGCAATTTCTTGGTATTTTCAATAAGAGTATGTGACCTTATGTTTGCGAAATGCAGCCGACTCGAACGCAGGCGTTAGAAAAAGCAAAGCAGAGCCAAACAAATCGGCTGATGCAGCACGGATGAGAGGGGATGTACGCCGATTCCTGTGTACGTATGTAAGTAGTAAGTGTGCTGTGCGAGCTGAGAAAAATGACGGAATGACGGGCAGCCGTTCGCTGAGCCTCGATCAGATGGCGGAGCATCAGCGGGAGACCGGACTCTCGTGCGCCCAGTTGGAGCAGCTCTATAGCCGTTTTCAATCATTGGACCGCCAGCGTCGTGGCTATCTGACGCCAACCGATCTGCTGCGCATACCGCAGCTTGTCCAGCATCCACTGCACCGCCAGATCGTGGACAGCTTCTTCCCCCGCCGCTGCGGGACCGCAACTATGTCCTTCCACCAATTTGTGGGGGCTTGCGCCACCGTCCTGGTGCCGCAGTTCATATTCACCGAGACTATGGAGTTGTATGGGCCACCGCCCCATGGACGAGCCGACAAGGTGCGTCTGCTGTGTAAAATGATCGATACAGAGAACCAAGGCTACATATTGACCAAGGACTTTCGTCAATTCTTGGGCACCTTGCTCGAGCAGCACGGCGCCCATCCGGCCGAGATGCCTCTGTTGGAGCTACTGGCATTCGGACTCAACCAATCGACACCCGCCCAGCTCAAATACCATGATTTCGAGTTCCGTCTCAGTGCCGCCGATCTAGAGGGTCGTCTCTCCATCAGCAAGTGGCTCGCTAAGGGCGAGAACGAGGCCCCCAAGGCCAGCAAGGCCAAAACCGGGACTGACTCCGTGGAGCCTGGCGTGCAGGCGAGGCACAACAAATAAATCACCCGCAGAATCGTTCGTTTCCGCCTTATTGGTGTTTTCTGTACAGTTTGTGGCGGATACGTAATATCTATATATATTTTTAGTAGCATTCTTTTAAGGCTTCTTTGTGCACAAAACACTATATGTAGCATGTAGAATGATTAAATCTGTACGTGGGTGCGCCTTTTTATAATTGTTTGGTTTACATTTTTCACCTAAAATATCAGAGAACATTTGGCAAATGCAGTGGCCATCAGACTGCAGACTCAATTGCAAGGGGATTGATCCTGAAGCACCGTCAAGTCGGCCCTGTTGCGCCCCCTTGGGCACGCGAGAGGTCTAGAGAGGCCAGGAAAGCGATCAGGTAGACCTTGCTATCTGAGGAAAACTGCAGAAGACGGAGCAGGTCTGCGCTGCACAGGTTCTGTAGATGTTAGGCGGCTAAGCATCCTTTGGCATAGTTGTCAGGCACTCATTGAATTCGTACTTCTGGATGGCAGAGGACGTATGGAATGCACACTCCAGTAGGGGCTCGTCGGGAGCTCGAAGACCAACAAAGCATTGTGCGCAGCAGCTGGGACTAACGCTGGTCCAGGTACTCTGCCGCCAGTGGCTGTTGCTCCTAAGCCATCTGGGGAAAAGCTCCAGCACCAGCAACAGCACTGGCACGCTGATGGCCCCCGAGCGGCTCCTCCTTGCATTGGCCAGAACCCAGCATCTCGGGGCTAGAAGCAGGAGCAGATCGCAGCAGGCTATGTTGAGTGACAGCCCGTCCGTGCTCTGCTCTTCGCCATTTTGAAGGCCAGGCTGCCATGCCGTGTGGGCATGGTTCAAAGATTCGAGACTTGTGTGCGACCCAGCAGCAAAAACAAGAGATGGGAAAGAGATCGATTGGCCATTGTCGGTTGATGGATATATGCGATGGTTTGCTTTATGATTGTTCCCTGAATGCCCAAGTCATGTTTTTTCCTAGAATAAATGTATTTTCAATTAATATTTATTGTAGGATACAATTTTAAAATGGCGTGGCTATATCTATTAAAAAGATGTGTGGGATTGTGGGCTTCCGTTCACGCTTTTGTGGTTGGCCACGGAGACAGCAGCCTTCATCGGTGGCGAATCGGTGCGAACCAAGGTGCTCGCCTAGTAGTAGCCATCGGGGTATTGGTCCTCCTCGTATTCGTCCCAGGGCCCATCCCCATCGTCGGACGAATCCAGATACTCTATCGCAAAGATCTCCAAAGTGACTTCCAAATTAAGCATGCTGTTGGGGACGTCATGAACATCCTCCTCTTCTGTGAGCTCCGGCGGACTGCCTGGACTCTCGTCCATGAGAGGTGTAGCTGCAGGAGCAGCAGCAACAGCAGCAGCAATATTCTCGTCCTCGTACAGAAAAGCAGTTGAAGGTGCGGCCGGAGGCGAAGGCGGATTCGGACCCAGGGTATTTGGCGATGCCTGGCCGTCAAGTGTTTCCTTCAGATGACCTTCCATAACCAAACAAAGTTATGCAAATTATGAAAAAAAATGCAAATTAAAAACGTCCACGTTACGCCTGCGTATGGTGGTTTCTAGAAAAGTCTATCGATAGGTCGATAGTCGAGACGTTCTCCGCAGTGCGCGGTGCGCACATTGTTGCCAGACTTACCAACGCATCACACGCTTTTCTGAGCAATTTCTTGGTATTTTCAATAAGAGTATGTGACCTTATGTTTGCGAAATGCAGCCGACTCGAACGCAGGCGTTAGAAAAAGCAAAGCAGAGCCAAACAAATCGGCTGATGCAGCACGGATGAGAGGGGATGTACGCCGATTCCTGTGTACGTATGTAAGTAGTAAGTGTGCTGTGCGAGCTGAGAAAAAGCACCGGATAGATGATAATGTATGTCAATTTGACATACAGGTTCCATCCGAGTGCTGCACATTGTTTCGTTTTTTCGGGTCCCAGTAACCTTTTCGCATCGCCCCAGCTGCCTGTCGAAGCCCTGCTACGAATAAGGGCAGTTCGAATCATTCTTATTTCAAACTTTGTGTGTAGCACATCTCCCAGTAAAGTAAATAAAAGTGAGTTGTGAAAAAAAAATTTGAAAAATTTAAAAATAATTTGTGAAAAGTTTTTGGAATATTTTACGGGAAAATTTTAAAAAGTTTGTGTGACTTTTAATAAAAGAAATTTTTTTTTTTTTGTGTTTTTGCAGAGCTTTCTCAAGACAATAACAAAGATTTCTTCGATAATGTATAAGATTAATGTATTTTTGATCTTCTGGTGTAAGTAGCCACTGCCGCGGCTGTTGTCTATAAGTGAAACTAAAATTGTGCGGGTGGTTTCAGGTGCCGTGATGATGCAACCATTGATGGGCCAGGGCTTGCGCGACAAGAGCTCGGATATCAGTGTCCCGTCTGCCGATGCGGAGGTCAGTGCCACAACTGTGGCATCTATTATGGGATCGTTGATGGAAAAGACTCCAGCAGGAAACTACGCAGCTGCCGAAACTACCCCGGCTATGGCTACAGGAAGCCCCCCAGCTGCGGTCAAGTCCACCCCTCGCCCGAAGGCTGCCCAGGAGTACAAAAAGCGCAAAGTGGCTCGCACACACAAGCCCCTATTCGATGAGTCTCGATTTGACTCATCGATGGAGCAGTTCGACTTTCATGACGCCCCAAAGCCTCGTTCGCCTCATCGCCACAAGCGCCAGAAACGCCACCGCCACGCGCCGACTGAGAAACCGTTCCTGGAGCCCTACCCCTTGATGCAGACTGAACCGCCAATGCCTCCTCGATACCCCATGCGTGCATTCTCATCTTCTGATGCGGACACCGCCACATCTTCTCGTGCGTCGCCGTTTTCCTTCTACGAGAAGTTACGTTCGCCGGATTTAAATTTCGAAGTGAAGGTGCTCGAAATGTTGTCCCCCACAATGCTGATCGAGAGCGTTGAGCTGAAACCGTATGAACACTCTCAGCCGACAATGGTGCCCCAGAATATGCCCGGATTTGACTTCTTGAACGCTACCGAGTACGAACGTTATGGCGGCCACTCTATTTACTCGCCCAAGAAAACTCACAAGCGCCACTCTTCTCCGGAAAAGCCGCCACTATTCGACATTTTGCAACCAGTTCTGAAGCCGCTCCTACACTCCCTACGTAAGATGGAGATGCAGACAGCCATGGAAATGCACAACAGTGGCATGGAACAACCATTGTCTCATCGCAGCTTCAAGGACCCAACACTTGAAAGCGCCTACTGAAGAAACTGATCAAGCTCAAGGATCTGCTGAAGGCCCCCGACCCAGCCTTTCTAGCTGTCCTATGAGCATCGTCACAACCGCAAAGGCGTTTTAGGTTTAGATATAGCGGTAGGATATTAGGTTTGCCAGGTAGCTAAGATTTCCATTTGTGCTTGTGGTCAATCTAAATTTGTATTTTTTTTTTATTTAGAAATTAGTTTTTGTTTTGGGTTTAGTTTAGTTTCAGGGAAAGTCAAATTTTTAAAATATTTTTGGGTTTTTGACAACAATTTGAATGCCAACAAATGATTTGAGATACGATTATATTTTGTAAGAATCAGTTTATAGGTAGTTAATAAAAAGAAGCAAATAAAATAAAAATTAATAAGGGGAAGAAAAATTGTACGATTACTGGGAAATAAGAGCTGCTTCATTGATCTTAGTCAATGGGGAGACGTTCACATGAAATCTGATGAGATTTTATTATGGCTAATGGGCAAATGTGCTACAATTGATGCCATTTAGTAATCGCAAATTGTTAATAGTATTTGCTAATGGCAACTTTACATGAAATCCATCTCCTACATATTTTTACATACATCAAGGGGTGGCGCCAATAAAAATATCGCGCACAAAATTGGTGCATATTTTTGTATGCTTCTATGTAAAAATCACGTAGAAACACTTTTTTGTGGCATCTCCGGCCCGCAATTTGCAACAATTGGCACTGGCGCTTCTATGGGTCTTATATGAAAAAAACGGCCAAGCTTTGCAACTAACGTCACATTTCCCCTTCAGGTATCTCTATTGCTAATTACATTTAACATGTAGTAAAAATGTATCAAATGTGTAGGTTACGCGTAGTTAGCATGTAGAAACATTAATTTGTTTGAAATTCAAATGGAAATTTTGCCCTTTTTTTAATATATAAAAAAATGCATGAAATATACCCAAATTAAATATACATTTAAAAATAATCAAATGAGGCCATCTACTGTTCTTCGATTTAATTAAAAATAAGGCTTCTTTTCTCCGGCGCAATACATTTTCAATATTATTTTATACGTTTATATACATTTCGCCACCGCGGAAATTGTAACGCTCTCAATGCACTGCCTGGAAGAACAAAATTAAGATACATATTAAGTATAATGCTTCCTACATTCCTTACTATTGCGCCGTCGTTAAAGTATTATTAGTTATATTTTCGTTTGAGCTGTTCTGGAGTGGAATCTCTTTCTCTGCAGTTCCAGACGAAGCACCAAGGTGTAGTTTTTCCTCCCAGTGGCTTGTAACGAATCCTAAACTATTCCCTTTTAAAAGAAACATCCCTTGTGCATCCGATATGTAAGCGATCAGCTTAAATGGAATCTAATCTCTTTTCCACACCAAAAAGAAATAATCCCAATTAATAAACGATGCCTAAGGGAAGTGCTCTTCATATCATTATGCGGTTTATCGTCGTGGAATTGAACAGTCAAAAAGTAAACATCCCTGTGGGGCTTTTACATTCACAATAGTTGTTTATTATTATAATAATTTGTTAATAGTTAGAGGGGTGTACGTTCTCAATAGAAATAGATGCTGCTGCAGGTGACGGCAGATTTATTTATTTCTTTACTTGTTATGTGTGTACGATGCTGGGATCTCGTGCTAAAAAAAACAATCAAGAAATGAAAACAATAAACAATATGTAAATCCTAGTTATGAACATGACTTTATGGCAGCTCCTCCTTTACTCTGTTGGGGTGCCATCGGGGATGCAACAAACAAAAGCTACTACCACAACAAAGGGTGAGGTGAGTAGTGTAGTGTCTATCATGTAGAATGGGAGCACTGTGAAATCGTTTCGACCGTTCGTTCTTTCGATATATGTATATAGCACTATATATATGGGGGGATACGTATACACGTGTGCATGCAATGCAGAGGATACAGATAAAAATACAAATTCAAAGATGCAATTACAATTTCCAAGGTACGCCACGCCACGACATAACATTTTCTTTAACTTTAGACTTTAAATTACATTTAGGCTTCGATTTTTTCGATTTTTGTGTACAAAAAATTTGGTTTCACGCTTGCATTAGCCGAGATTTAGGTTAAGGTTATGTGCTATATATATAGGTGTATAAGTATATCGTATCGTATATAAATAATTACAAAAAATGTCTTTACGATGCTTAAAAAAAAATACTTGCGCTCAATTTCAGACAAAAAAAAAACTTTACATCGCGGGGGAGTCGATCCTATCTCTACTACTGACGCCTCACAGTGCGCTCCCGTTCGCGTCCGCTCTCCTCGCGCTGAAGGCTGCCATGCCTTGGCGGTGAGGTGTTGCCGGTGGCACCTCCCGCTCCTGATCCACCATTTAGTACACGCGCCTTGCGCGATCGCTTAAACTTGGCCATGTCCTCGCCAAAGACATCGCCCGTGCGCAGGGCCGAGATAAGGTCATCGAACTCGCCCTTGTTGTCGCCGCCACCCTTGCCCGGGGAGTCGCCTCCATTCGTGGGGGATGAGGACTTTAGGCCGAGGTTGCGTGCAACACTGCTCATGAGGCCGGTCTTGTTCTTGCGATCGATGGTCCGCTTCTTGAGCTCGGCCTCCTGCTTGGCCCGCTTCTCCTCCTCCTCCTGCCGTCGGCGGAAGCTTTCGTTGTCGTGACGCGCCTCGGCAAAGGCTCCCAAGAACGAATCAAAGATGCCAAAAAACTCGTCCGGCTGCAACACGGATCCATCTTCACCGAACAGACGGACGGCACGATCGAAGCGCGTCTTCATGTCCTGGAACTTGTCCTCCAGCTCGGCAAAGCGCACCGATGCCTGGGCATGGAACTCCCGCATCACGGGCAGAAAGCGATCACCCTGCTGTGCGGGACCCGAACTCCGATGGAACTCAATCTCACGGGCCACATCCGCCAGCCCGGTGCGCAGCATCTGTATGTCCTTGTCCATCTCGCCCAGCGACACCTTCGAGGCACCGCGCACATGCGGTATATCATCCTCCAGCTTCAGCAGATCCTTGAACTTCTTTTCGATAACCTGCACGAGATAATGGAGCAGCGTTGTGCCCTTGGCGGCACTCGATTTGGTATCGGCCAGACGATTGAGCGACGCCAAACGGAAGCCAGAGGCATTACCGCGTGCCCCCCGATTCATGTAGTTGCCTAAAACGAAGGAGGAATTCGAATATCAGTACGTTGTGGCAATCATAGGAGATCCTACCCAATGCCAGGACTAGCTCCAATAACTTGCGCAGACGCCGAGAGCGTGCCACCTCGCGTGAGGCCTCCATCACGCTCTTGATGCGCGGCGTCAGATCGTTGACGGTCAGCATAAAGCGCTTCTTGTAGTGCAGACTCTTCAGCCGCTGCTCGTAGTGGGGTATCCTGTGGAAGGGAAGGCGTGAATAAATCGATATTGGCTGCATCTTAGAGTCCCAACAACGCACTTGGATATCTCATAGAGAAAACGATCGGCTCGTGCCAGCGATTCAATGTCCTCGCTGTGCTCGTCCAGCAAAGCCCGCTCTTCGGCAGAGGGCGTGAATTTCAACAGCTGCTCGACCATGTCCAATTGCAGCTGCTCATTGCAGTCCATGGAGAGGATGGCCCTATAGGAGTAGAAGATAAGTATAAGAGCAAGGATCTAGCAGCATTTAGGAGGGATTCTTCATACTTGGATATCTCCACATCGCTCATCTTCAGTTTGCTCAACAGAATCGTGCAGTTTTGGGCTCGGCGTCCATCGATCACTGAGAGAACCTTTTGTTTGTTCTTCTGTCCCGTGGGTCGCAGATCCTCGTATGAGCCATCATGTGCCTATCAGGGTTTAGAGCAGTATTAGAGTAGATGCAGCAGAAGTAGTAGAAGAAATAGACTCTTACTGGCACTCCATTCTTCTGGTAGGCCGAAAAGAGCTTGTCAATCGACTCCAGCTCCATGTTGTTGTACAGCTTGCTCTCGTCCAGTTCGCTCCAGACTGTGCCCTGAAGCTTGGCATCCGGCAGCTTGGACCAGTTGAAGCTCTTCAAGGGATTTGTGGGCTGTGGCACATTCTTTTTGGGCAGCTCCACCTTGGGGGCCACAGGAGCTGGAAGAAAAGATATGGTTTAGCCACCTCTGAAGGCTCCAGAGGATCTGTCGAACTCACTCATCGCTGGCGTCATGCTGGGCGGCGGTGGTGGGGCGCCCGGACATGGCGGCGGTGGGGGCGGCAGCATTGCTGGCGCCATTGGCGGTGCCGGCGGCGGTGGAATGGCATTCAGCATCGGCGGTGGCGGTGGTGGCGGCGAAACAGCACCGTTGCAACCTGTCAGGCCAGCCACCTTTTGGTCATCGGGTATGCTGCCTTCGGTCACGAGCCGCTCGAGACGCGCCCGCTCCTGCTGCTCGCTGTGCAGGCGATGTTGCAGATCCTCGGCCTTCATTTCGGCACTCTGGGCCCGCTGCACGGCCTGCGAGTGCTGGGCCGACTCCTTCTCGAGGCGTTCGCGCATGCGTGCCAGGCCCGTCTCCAGGTCCTCCTTCTCCTGCATTCGCAGATCGAGTTCCTGTTCCTTCTTGGCCAGACGCGACTGTACTTCAAAGTTCTCGCGCTCCAATTCATCCGCCCGCTTGCGCGCCTGCGTGAGCTGCTCTTCCTTCACCAGGAGACGCACCAGCTTGCCCACATCGATCTGCAGGGGGGCCACATCCGGGTCATGAACAGGGGACTCGCTGGCCAGCTTCAGCTGCTTGCCAGGATCCTCCAAGGGATCGGGTATAAGGTCGCTGCTGGGTCGCTGCTCCACTTGCAGCACAATCTGCTGGACCACGCGATCAATCAGCAGCCAATGTTCAGTGCAGTGGCCCGTATCTGTGTGGGGATCAATCAAGGATTAGTTGGAGGGATCTGCAGCTGCTTCTGGTTGTGGTTGGAGTCGTGGCACTTACAGGGTAGCAACAGCATATGCTGCAGCAGCGACAGCATGTGGGGATACGCTGGCGAATGGCTGAGCTTGCGGCGCAGCAGCTCAAACATGGACCCAGCGCTCTTCGTGTCCACATGCTCTTCGTTGAAGCGACGGGCAAACTCCTTCTCATCCTCCGCCCTCACCATCTCAAAGAAGTCCTGCAAAAGCGGGGTCAAACGGGTTAGTGAAAACTGCAGCTGGAGTACTGGAGCTCTTCCACAGGGAGGTCTCAGCACTCACCAAATGCCTGTCCAGCGTCTCATTCTCGTGCGTCCGCAGCTTGTCGATCACCGGCTGGATGCCCAGCATCAGAAATTCGTAGCGCAAATGGAGCCTGAACTCGAGATTCTCCTGCCCGGGGCCGTAGTTCAGGACAGCATTCACAAAAGACATCAGAGCGGTCTTCAGATTGACATTGTCCATATACGCATAGGTCGAACGGTCCAGGTCATTGACAATGCTCTGGAAGCGCGTGCGTTCTGTGGCAAACTCCTGGAAGTGCAGCATCGCCTGCAGCACCTTGCGATGTCCTCCCGGCACCAGGCACACGGCTCCCAGGATCTCCAGGGCCGCTATCTTCGTGCGTATGTTGTCCGCCGCCAGGGAGCGGGCAATCGTGTCTATGGCCGTGGGGTGGGCCAGCACATGGGCGCGTCCCATCGAGTTGTTCATCAGCGCCTTGATGCAGCCAATGAGACTCGTGTGCAACGAGCTGTTGGCCACACGTATGTCCAGCTGCAGCAGGAGATTGAGCAGCGCCGGCAGTCCGTCCAGCTCCACGAAGCGGAGCACAAAGCTGTGCGTGGAGGTGCGCAGCGCCGTCTTCAGGGCGTCCACGAGGGCCGCGTGGTTGTCCAGCCGATTGCTGGCCCCCTCATGGCTGGGCGAGTCCTCCGGCGAGAGGGAGACGTGCACCACCAGCTCCTTCAGCCGCTCGATATAGTGCTCGGCCGTCGGGGGCTGATGCCCGGCGAGCGCCGAGGGCCCATCGGGGCCATCTGTCGCGTCCAGCGGCTGCTTGCGGGAGCAGTAGATTTGCCATTTCTTCTGGGCTGGCAGACTGAGCATCGCCTCCTTGTTGGGCGCTGTCAGATCGAGCTCTTCGACCAGTTCCGCGAACTTGGTGTCCAGCTCATCCACCGACGGCATTGGCTGTGTGGGCGTGAGGGTCTGCAGGGTGAAGGCCCCCTCCACCACACAGATTTCGGGGGGTTCATCGTCCTGGAAAGAGCAAAACAGCAACAAAGCACGTATTAGAATTGATTGTATTACAGAGCGGGACAGAGAGAGGCGTTCAAGCGGAGCCCCCAGACAGACAGACAGCCGCGTAATTGGTGCATGTCCAATTAGAAGTCTCCGTTTGTTGCAACAAACAACACAACCTTGCAACCGGACACCGAAGTCGAAGCCATGGGGCAAAGGAAGCGGCGGCTCTGGCCCTGTGCCTCTCGCCCCCCTCTCTGTGACTCATCGGCTGAAGGGGCAGTCCATCTGGTTCTGCTTCTGTTCTCTTCTTCTGGAATGGTATTTCAAAGAACCATACCTCCTGACTCATAATCGGGGCATAATTATTATTGGAATTCGAGAATCAGAACAGAATCAAGGATTGGAACTATCTGCATAAATCTGAGCGATATGTTCAAAGAGTAATGCTGGATGGGATCCCAGCAATAAATTGCTGTGAAGGAGAAAGTCTTGCAGGCAGAGGCCTGTCAACAAAAGAAAGAGCGAATATTGTATTGCCTTAGAGCCTTAGAGGTAGACCAAGAATTCTGCAATGAAACCAACATTTCTTGCTTGTAATTCGGAGGGCGAAAAGCCAGCACAGCAATTCGGATTTTGATGTATGATGCATTCGGCATCCTATTATTAGAATAACTTTGGTCTAGGGTCAAGGGGAGTTCTTTAAAAGATTGCCAAGCAGGGAGTTTCTTCTCTTGAGAGAACTGTTGAAAGAACTATGATTGCACGAAGAACTTGGCCATCGATCGGGCCCAGTCATTGCCCATCAACTCCATATTTTAAAGGGTTTAAAGTTCTGTTTAAAGGCATGCATTTCCATCTTTCCGGGTCGTACGCATTATGCAGCAGCTCTCATCGGTCTATCGCCGGGAACTATTTAGGGTGCTACTCCCGTATGCAGTGAGAGAATCACTGATAGAAGAGAGATAGAATCCCTGACATGGGGTAAGTCATAATGCAGCAGCGCCCCTCGGTCTATTGAAACTGCATGACTGCCCGGAGGGGATGGTTCTTTTGGGTTCTGTTGCGGTAGAGGCTCTGGAGTGTCTCTGTGGGGTCAAGTGTTTCTAAAGTGCTGCTCGAAATACTCGCTCGAAATACCCATTCCCATGTGAAGTATTCCCGACTCTGGGGCTCTCCAATCGAGTCGAGGGGATGGGGGCATCAAGGCATATCTCGTACTCGAATTCGTTCTTACATTATCGCTTTCGCTTTGACTGTGGCTCTGTTTCTGCTTCTGTGGTTCTCTCTTATGCAACCTGCAATTTGCTGACTCGTGAGTTTCCCAGAGCGAGAGCGGGAGCGAGAGAGACCACAAGAGGGGAGACCCGCGTTGGACTCCGATTTCAATTGGCAAATTGATTCGTGTAGCATTTCGCACGTGACTTTTTGCGGAGTTTAGCAACAAATTCGATTCGATTGCACACGCCCTATCTAGGGGGCCTGTGGCACTCGCTGCACACTCACCTTGAAGCACCCGCACCAGGGTCTCCTGCCCCTGAAGACGGGCATCTTTCGCTTCTGCTGTTGTCTGTAGTGTTTCTGGAGTGGCGTTTCGTTGCCGTTGGCGCTGCCGTAAAAGGAAGACGACTTTTTGTATCCTAGAGTGCTGCTGCTGCCGCTCTGGCTGTCGAGGTCCTGCTGCTGCTGCTGATGCTGCGAGTGCTGCGAGTGCTGCTGCTTGAAGCCGAAGGGTAGGGATCCAAAGGTGTATCCTAGTATATTATTCGTGTAGAATGAACCACTGCCCAGACCGCTGCCCAATCCTGCTTCGTTGTTGTTCCCTTCGTGCGCATGATCGTTGCGTGACTGAGCATCCAGTGGGTGGCACGATTGCCTTTTAGTGGCACTGCCACTGCCAGTGCCACTGCTGCTGTGGCTGCTGCTGCACTGATTCCAATACCGATAGAGACTGTGGAAACAGTTGTAGTCGCTGAGTAATCCCTTCCAGTGCTCGAAGTCGAAGCGTTCTTGGAAATTTCCCGATGAGGTGTCGCTGCTGCCGTGCGGGCTGCTGTGGCTGCTGTGGCTGCTGTTGCTGCCGCCTCCTCCCAGGGGCAGTGTGGCTGTGCTACCCCCCTCTGGACTGACGCCCTGCCGACTGTAGCTGAGGTCGCCGCAGCTGTTTAAGCTCGTGATGGACACCAAACTGCTGTTGTGGTTCGTCTTCAGAATGGTGGGAGGCTGACTCTCGTATGAGCTGTTGTTGCTGCTGCTGTTGTTGCCGGTGTCGCCTGTTATCGTTATCTTTGTCACGCCCGCAGAGGTGCCTCCAGCTGCTGTTGCCGCATTAATTGTAATACAGTTGCCACTTAGACTAGCTGCTGCTCCTCCCTGCACCTGCTTCTTCTCTAGAGTACTCTCTGGCGTTGGCTGCTGCAGTATCTCCGTGCTGTTGGCACTGTGCGTGTCCGGCTCATTTATGCACACAACCGAAGGACACGACTGTAGCGTCTGCAAGGAAGAGAGAGAGAGAACAAAAAGGGTATTAGTATTCGATTCGATAGCCACAGAAGTCTTCCACCGTCTCTGCGGGGGTGGACAGCCGCAGAAACAAAACAAAAATCCATTCATCCGACTGTTGCAACTGTCATAACTGTCCCCCCCCCGCCCGCTTCGGCTGAGAGATCTATGTATGTTGCAACTGCCACAGAAATATTCACGTGGGAGAGGAGCCAGCTGCAGCTCTCTTTCTGTCTTTCTGTCTCTCTGTGTGTTATGCAAATGGTGCATTACAATTGGATTGCCATGCCACATACTCCACAAATACATGTGTACATACGTGTGTGCAACACCCTGCCTCATAAGCCCCATAATCCGCATACTCTTCTATTGGAAACACTTAAAACGTAATCAAAGCAGCCCCACTTTAATGATGGCTTATTAATTTACTTTCATTGCCTGCCTGCCTGCCTGCCTGCCTACCTGCCTGCCGCATGTTGCCACATGCCTTTAGAGAATGGCTCCACTCTTGGGGCTCGTGGAAATTGCTTTGTCTATCAATGGATTCAATGGTTGATTGAGTAATCTGTATTTCTATTTTTCTTTTAGCAGCTCGCTCTCCTGGCGTTTTTCTTGTGCTCTTCTGATGGTCTTTCAAAGAACCTTGTGCTTTGGTCGGATATGAACATAGAATCAATATCTTTTGGAGACTTGATTGTGTTGCATCAAGAAACCATCGCTGTATCCTTTCGCTTATGGGAAAATGCGATAAATTCGATGAAAGTGGACCAGTGGTAGCCCTGGCGGAATCAGTGGAGCGTTGGTTCATTCCCCACTGAAGTGTTTTGCTGCCTCCAGTGGCTGCCACACACTCCCCACAGCGCCGGCGCGGCGTCTCGGCAGCTGTCGTCGTTGCTGTCGTCACAAATCAGGTCAATGCTTCAGCTACAGCTTCATGTCACAGCAGACAGCCCCATGTCTGAGTCTGACTCTGAGTCTGAGTGTCTGTACAGCTGTCTCTCTGGCTGTACCCCGATCGCCGGCCAATATTCAAGTCCGGGCTGTGTCTCTTCGTCACCATCTCCATCTGCCTCTGAGTCCGAGTCTGATCTGCCTCTGAATCCGGCTCTGATATGTTGCCCCACGCTCTCTGCGGCTTCAAGCCACGCGTGGGTCCAAATTAGATGCGATTTGAATCGATTTGCTGTTGAAATATGTCCCATGAATGAGCCCAAAGCCCAGAATAGAGACCCAAATAAAGAGTGCACAGATCTTTGCGGTTAACAATAAGTGGAATTAATTTTAAGAATATGTAAATGTGAACATAAACGCAACGTATCCATTCGGCTCCGATGTTTGTGCTGAAGATCTCGTACTTCGTCCAGGTGTTAATGCGTCCATCAGCGTCTATCAGCGTCCATCAGCGTCCACCAGAAGAACACGAACATATTAAACTTGAATCTGCACCAGTTGGCGCAGCTGTGCCACATTCCCACGAGGAAGCGCAGCATGGGAAGCCGTTCGAATGAGTGGCAGAAGGCAAAGGGAGGCTGCAAGGCGTTCTGGCAGTCACCCAGGCGGCGCACACTCACACGATAGCAACCAATGCGGGTGCCGTCCAGCTCGAGGGCGGCCGCGAATCCCATTCGATCGGTGTAGTGCAGGAGCACGCCCATGTTGGTGTGGCGCACGCTCAGTATGGTCCCAGCGTCAGTGAAGCAGCGCAGTACCTCGGCGAGGGCCTGGCGGGGAAAGCCGAGCACCGCCACCCAATTGACGCCCGTCGTGACGGGGCCAACCCAAGCGGCAGACCTCTCCCGTTGCTTCGGTTTCTTCTTGGCCTGCGACTTGGGTGGAGGGAGCTTTCTCTTCCATGCTGTCACAGGAGCAGCCCTGCTGTCGCCAAGCTGCTGCGGCTTCTCTTCTTTGACCTTCCGCGAAGCCTTCGAAGCTCTGCGATTCGTCGATCTGCTGCTGTCGATCCGTCGATTGCTGGACATCCTTGAAACTGATTTGGTTTCTTTCCTCACAAAATTGTTCTACTCTGAACGAAACTGAACGAAATGGGCAAGGGATTAATGGTGTGGGGCAGTGCTGCAGTTTAGCAATTTAGTTGCTAGATCTGGCAACTTTTCCTCAAAATTAGCAACTTTTTTTTCTTAAATGCTATTAGCCACAAATCTAGGTATTTTCAGTTTTTATTTAGCAATTCCAGAAACTTTATTATAAAACTGGCAATTTTTATATAGTTTTCTTCAGGGTTTTTGCATTTTGTCAACAACTGCACAAATTACGATTAATAGTGGTTCACAAAGATATCGGAACTTGTATCTAACTCAGTGCTTCGATTATATGAACAACTTGATAGTGTTTGTTAACTCTTTTAATTTTAGTGTTTTATTATTATTATTGTTATTAGCCTACATTATTAAAAATGTACTCGCAATTCCCACGAAATGGACAACTTTCAAACCGACATCGGAAACTCAGCTTTTAGTCTTCTGTTGGACGAGTCTACTATATTTTATAAATTTAAAATTTTAGTGGTTTGGTTTTTTGGGTTTTTTATTGTTGCAATTTTCACAAAATTTGTATCAATTTTGAGCAGTTTTTCTTGCCAAATCTAGCAATTTTTGCTTAGAAGATTCTGGCAGCACTGGTGTGGTGTATGATTCGACTCGATTATGCTCTCGCTGTGCCCGGGACGCGTCCCACCTTCGTTCTGATAGAAAACACAAGAGAGACAGCAGCAAAAGAACAGCTCTATTGTCTTGCTTGAGCGACAAGGGAGAGCCAGCGCCGCTCGCGGGCTGTGCATGCGCTTACTGATAAGAATTTTACATACATACATATGTACATACATCCTCAGCGTTCATCAAAGCAAAGCCCAAACAACACCAATTCCATTTCAGCCTTCGTTCTGCGAACGGGCGCGCGCGCTTCTGTTACGCCTATTCTCTTTTGGGCTATCCTTCGTCTCTGCCAGCCGCCCGCGGCCCGCTGCTCTGCCGTTCGGCTGCTCGGCTGCTCGGCTCGTCGGAGTCCAGCAACAAATACAACGTAGATCGGGACTCGAGACTCGAGAGAACTACAGTCGAACTGCTCTATGACGAACTTTTATGCAACGAAGTATAATATTTAATGAATTTATTTCCAGAACCCTGCAATTCTATATTCTGCAAAAATTAATTCGATGCTACGGATTTACCGTCTAACGAATACCCCTTGAAATTCGCTATATGGAAGTTCGACTGTACAAAGCTTGGTCATGTCTCAGCCCATTTCTGCTCGACGCGATGGTGTTGCTATCCGTGTGATATCTCAGGAGAGAGGCGTCCAGCAAGACGGACTAGACTATCGATGCTGACTAAGAATATAAATACATACATACATACATACGTCGGAGATGTAGCATTAGGATATAATAAAAATGAAGAAAGAACAAAAACTTCGTAGCAGAGTGCTCTGTTGTGCCTTCAGTTCGCATTTTGTTGAGAGCGAGAGAGAGTCGTGTCAGCCGAGTGTAGCGCGGTGCTTTGGTATTCGAGAGAGCGAGATAGAAAAGGCATTGCGGAAGGAGAGCATTTGAATGGGGCAATGCTGTGTCGGGTAATGCTCGACCTGAGAGAAGAATTGAAGAGAGAGAGAGAGAGAGACTGCAAAGCGACTCACTTCGCTCGAGGCTTAAAAAAAAAAAATCCAGGCAGAAGAGCCCCCTGTCTCTCTGCCTCTGACATATGCTTTATGGGGTCGAAAACGCTTCCTTGTGGGTGTTACATCTGCATCCACTTTTACCACAAATCTAAAATCACCCACCCACACACTCCTTGATAACGGGGTAGAGCTGGACAGAGCTGGAGTGGCCCAACACACGGGTAACTTCCTGATCAGTGCTTCCCTTCCCCTGCGTTGCAAAGTCCTGCTCAATGATGACTCCCATAAGGACATGCGCCATTCAAGTCCGGAGATGTGCATCTTAGGGCGATGACAGGTGCCCCTTGGTTTGCTCGAAAGAGATCTCCACATCCCCAAAATTGGGCATCAAATTAACCATCATGAGAACCATCACGATGTAACGATAGGTTGTCTAATCGTCCAAACGAAGCAGCTAGAGGGTTAGAGCCCCCTCAAATCTCACGTGGACACAAACGAATACATCCGTCCAGTACTCAGAGTAGAAATAATGACTAGTAAACTCTTAGATATGTACTTATTTTTATGCAGTAAGCCGATGTAAATATCAAAAATATTAGATCACAGTTTAATTAAAAGTGATTTATAATATTTGAATTTGTATATTTTCGGGCTTAGCTTTGCTTGAGATTTTCACAGATTTTCGCATTTCCAAAATCTTGGAATCTCTCACACCTGTCTTTCTGGGTCTCGTGTATCCATGTATCCGTATCCGTATCGGTATCCGTGACTGTGACTGTGACACGCCCACCACTCCACAGCCAGACAGCCACTGCAGCACTTCCGGGGGTGCCACCCACCCATCCGCCCATCCATCCATTTATTCATCTATTCCAGCCATCCATCGCGTAATAACTTTATAGGAAAACGAATTGGTAGCCGGAAAGTGGAAAAGTGTGCTCTGGAAATGTGAGGAAGGGAGATTGGTGTGTGCACTGCGGAGTGTGTACACTTTGGAATACCCTTATGGATATCTTTTGCGCAGCATTCCTTAGATATCCATCTTCATAGCAATCCATTTATATACCTTTTTCCTCAAAGATACTTTTACTCTCGAGAAGAAGCTCCGAATAAGGAAAACAAATACCTTCCCCAACAAGTGCTTCTACTGTGGAAAGGATTCTTATCAATACCACTTCCACGGTGTATGGAAGGTGTTCTTCCATTTCAAGGAACTGTCTGAACCGTCGAAGAATCCCTTAGCCAAAGATACGTATCCCAGCTAGAGGACAACTCTTCCTCTAGGGTACTCTTACTTTTAAAGAAAGACTTTCGAATAACATTCCCATTCCCCTGGGCATGCCATGCCCCTGCTCGAA